GGAGGTCAGACAGATACTGAATGTCACCAGATGTTAGACCACACAGGTCTGCTGTCTGGCAACTAGGAATAAACAGCCCACCAAAATATTACCTCTGCCAGGTATTCTGCACTAAGACAAAAATGTTGTTTCATATGTGGTGTTTGTGATATGGAATCTTATAATGAAGGGGCTACAGTAAATCTAGAACAGCTGTAATGTGAATGCAATTTCATTCCCACAATATACATAGGTTAGTTTTAAAGCTGTATTAATGGGAAAAAAACATGAAATGTTTAAAGTAGGGCTATATTGCAGGCACCCTAAGATACTAAAACTGCACTCCTACCTTTTTAAACCACTGCTGGACCCCTGACAAAAAAAATCAGTATTTCCAAGTTCGGGCACTCATATGCAAGCCACCTGTTTCCCTCAGTTTACCTCTGGGTGTCTGAGTGGCCAGTAATAAGGAATTAGAACTTTCAATTGAAAGGATTTCAAAACCTTCAGCAGATCTGGGTGTCAGGAAAGGAGGATTGACGCACACACAAGCATTAGGGTGCCTGCTATACAGTCTTAAGGTGCCCATACACCTTACGACCATCACAAGACTTTTGTCTTGCGATGGTCGTATGCTTCTTGAAAGCCCATACGATCTGCCCACCTTGGACGGGCAGATCGTACTTGCGATCATCGAAAGCCCGCCCCACTGAGGGGCGGGCTTCTGATGACGGCAATGCAGAACGGGCACTGTGCGCGTGCGCACACCGGCCCGTTCCGCAGCTATCGGACTAGCAGGCTAGAAAACCGCCGAGAATCGTACGATTCTCGGCGGGGTTTCAAACATGTTGGCTCGACAAAAGACGGGCGACCGTACAGTAGAAACGGTTGCACGTCTTACTTCACACTGCTCGATTCTCGTACGATCGCGGGATTTCGCCCGATTCTCGTACGAGAATCGAGCAGTGTATGGGCACCTTTAGGGGTCTATTTATAAATAATTTGCTGGGCCCTTTGTCCTGAGAATATCAGTGAACATTTGCTTTTGGAGAATAATGCCAAAAACAAATGTTCCTAATATTTTTTGTCCAGTCCGAATGTATTGAAATGTAATTCTACATTTTGGACATAAAATTATTATTATTAAAGGCAATTTCATTTCTTGGGGCATGGATGCTTTAAGAATATGTATGCATAGTTTTGGGCACACTGGCTCTGTAACTGCATAAACATTGTAGGGAAATCCTTTGGGGGAAGGGATTGCTGTGAATACAACTTGTGTTAAACGTTGCTTCATATCAAAAGTTTTCTATAGATGTCAGACTTAGCATATCTTGCAGCTTTCTACTATGTCTTGCACATAGGTAAGATGATTTCCTTTTTCCATTTTTTTGTAGTAAAAAAGACGTGCGACCGTACAGTAGAAACGGTTGCACGTCTTACTTCACACTGCTCGATTCTCGTACGATCGCGGGATTTCGCCCGATTCTCGTACGAGAATCGAGCAGTGTATGGGCACCTTTAGGGGTCTATTTATAAATAATTTGCTGGGCCCTTTGTCCTGAGAATATCAGTGAACATTTGCTTTTGGAGAATAATGCCAAAAACAAATGTTCCTAATATTTTTTGTCCAGTCCGAATGTATTGAAATGTAATTCTACATTTTGGACATAAAATTATTATTATTAAAGGCAATTTCATTTCTTGGGGCATGGATGCTTTAAGAATATGTATGCATAGTTTTGGGCACACTGGCTCTGTAACTGCATAAACATTGTAGGGAAATCCTTTGGGGGAAGGGATTGCTGTGAATACAACTTGTGTTAAACGTTGCTTCATATCAAAAGTTTTCTATAGATGTCAGACTTAGCATATCTTGCAGCTTTCTACTATGTCTTGCACATAGGTAAGATGATTTCCTTTTTCCATTTTTTTGTAGTATGGATTTGTGGAATCTTAATCTCAGGCTCAGTCTAACAGGGCTCCAGCATTTCTCATTAAAACTGAAATCTGGGCTAAACATACCGTATATACTCGAGTATAAGCCGAGATTTTCAGCCCATTTTTTTGGGTGAAAAGAGAGTCGAGACTTGAATTTTAGTATCATTTGTGTATTTCTTTCATATCTATGCAGTCACGTGAAGGAATTTCTTGTAATAAAAACTGGTCACTGCTGTTCTCTCCTTGTGTGGGGGGACTGGTGATGTATTTGCCCTCTTGTAGATTTCAGAAAGTAGTCTGAAGTGGGTTCCACCTAAAGCTCTGCTTTCTGCAAAGGATATGTGCAGCACAGTAGTGATGTCACCATTACTTTTAGAAGATAACATTTGGATTGGGAAAGGCATTTAATGCATACAAAGTGAATGTTATTTTCAGCTATGAAGAAATGTATTTAAATTCTTTTTTGTGCCCAGAACTCTGCTTTAGATTCCACAGTGCAGCATTCCTATCCTATCTAGTAGGGAACAGTTTGTGAAGATTTTGATGGACCATTTTTCAATAGATATTCCACCAGCACAGAGGGGACAGCCAATGTGTTAGCAATCCACTTTATCACAAAATGTGATCAAGCAAAAAATAGACAGCATTGGTAATCAAAAATCATGCATCTGAAAAATTCCACTTGACCTCAACTATATACTGGTCATTAAAAAAGACCTGCATTTTACTGAAAACTTAACTAAACAGACACCCGATAAAACAGTTGTAAAAGTAGTACCACTGCAGATCGTCTGCCTATTTATTTAAAAACACCTGCAGTGCTGCTGTTTCAATAGTAGTGATGTCATCCACACCAATGCCATTTGCTCCAGAGCTCAGCTCTGAGATTTTACTAAATAATCCCAGGCTCAGTTAATTAACAGAATGTAAAAACAAGCCTGGTACATGAGTTTCACCTGGACAAATATGACCCAAGTGGATAGGGTCACATTCACATCGCTAATTCTCATTAGATTGTTATGTTCTACAAGGGAAATATGATTAGAATTAGTCTGAAAGTAATATAACCCTGTACAATGTATTTACATTTGTATCGCTCTTTTTTAGGTATATATGAGTAAACTTACAGTACATTGGGGATCATAAAGTACACAATCTATACCATGCACACAAAAATTCTGAAACTGTCACTAAATTTTGTTTCTATATAAAATACAAACATTTGTCAAACCTTCAGAACGTTTGCAATGGCTGTAAAATATTCGCACTGACTACAATCCCACAACTTCCAGCAGCTAGAATGCCATGTTCTCTGTGTATTTTACCTTCTGGGGACTCTTATCAGGGAACAATTGTGCTTTAAAATAATGGCAGTTTGTAAGTACTAAGAGGTCTACCAGGGGTTCTATGCCTGAAAATTGCAAAAATCCTGTATGTGATAAAATGCTAAGCAAAAACACAATTTCAGTTTTAGTGGAGACAACCTTTAAGTCTTATTGGTTATGTACCAAAATAAATTCTGCATAACTACAGAACCAAAACACAAAAAGGTCAAAGAGTAAGTAGATAGCAAATTGCATTTAATTAAGATAATTGTTCTATAAAACACCCAAAAACCTTGTGTTTATAGATGGATTTCTGCTGGAATCCAAAATCATCCATAGACTTGTTTAAGCAGGCAGTGACCAATACTATAAATCTATATTGCAAAACTGACCATAAAATGAGATATTCGCTGTATTAAAAACTCCCATACTGAAAACATAGAGACCATCCCCACTAACCAGATTTTTTATATTCCTGGCTTCTCAATCTACTTTACTTGGCAAGAGAAAATGAATCATTCTTTTTTTCCTTGTTCATTTCATTAAGTTAAATGAAAGCTTTAAGAGAGTGTTATAACTTAGTGAAGGTTATGAAAAAATGGAAACCTGATATTATGAACAAACATTTCTAGTTATCTACTAATACTGATTTCAATATATGTAATAATTGGTTTGAGGGATTTCAGCTGAGCTGCAAATTAGGGACCTAATCTTTAACCCTAGTGCTTGTATTTCAGTGGTGTTTGGTGGTTTATCATATTGTTACTATAGCTGCAGAAATGTGTTTCCCTGCTATCAGTATGTGTCAACACTGGCTTCCCTACAGAGCTACCTCTGAAGCAAATACTTGCCAACTACAAGTGGTTAGTTTAAGGACAGTACATAAATGGTTGAGATGAGCAATGGTTTAGTTGTAAATTATTTTAGCGGAGCATTGATACTGGTCTGGAACTCCCATGAAAACCTGGCAGAGTACAAACTGGATCAAAGATTGTTAACACTTTTTCTATAATGCTTTTGTGTACAAATTGGGACAAACTATAACACTGCCAGAAGTGCTTGAGCAATTTAGCAACAGTTTTTTTTTGTTTAAAAAAAAAAAGAAGATTTAAACCATATGTAAAAATGACTGTTGTAAGTACCCCTGACAGTGTTATTGTTTGTTTAAACCCCTATCACTCTCATTTTTATGGACAGCTGGACTGCATGTGAACGTGTACATAAATGGAAAAGAAAGACATGTAAAATAAAAATGAATTTGACTACCAAATGGGGCTGATTTATAAATCTTCCACCCAGTGTATAGATGGTGGAACTCCACTACCACCACTAGATGGCACTGAGGAACATAGGAGTCCGTAGGTATGAGTTAGTACATTTTGCACTTTGTATAACAGATAAGTCTGCACATATGTTATTACTAAATCTAAATTTTCACTCCCTTTTTACTGAATCTAAAAATGTTGTTTCTGAAAACATATTTGATAATAACTTTTTAAGAAAACAATGCATACATTCAACATCTGTGTGTGGTTTATACAGGAACGAGTAGCTGCCATGTGAAACAAGCTGAATCTTTGCTTTTTAGGAAAATACATGTTACCCATGACACTACAATCCATCATCTTTTTTATAAGAGGCACATTCATTATCTAGTCATTATCGGGAGCTACGCACACAAGTGAATGAAACTGTTGTCTTTAGGTTTGTGAACAGCATAACTATTTCAAGGTTTCTGGCCTCCACGTATCTCACCTGTCATTATGGAAGCAAAAGGCGGGTGAGGATCAAAGGGGCACTTCAATCTTCCTGTCTCCAGGTTTTGTGTGTCAAGCTTGAATACTATTTCCTGAAAGAAAAATACTTACATCATATCATCACATTAGAATAATTCTTGAGAAATAACATGTCAACATTAGTTAACAAAGGTTTGCTTTTATAAAAAATTGAGAAAAAAATACATGGAAATGAAGATAGAAAGATATAATATTTAGTAAATATAAACATTATGATTATTTATTAGTGATCAAGATTTGTATAGGGCATAGTAAAAAAAAAAGAAGCTGTTTGACATAAGGAATCTTTGTCCTGTGTTATGGCGCTAGGAGGTATTGCAGTGTTAATTGTAAAATATATTCATGCAAACATGTTCTAGCATACTCTAGAAAAGGGGTCATCAAGCAGGGGTATACATACTCCTCAATGGTATAGAAACCAAATGATGAGACTGGATCCCTAATTTTTTTGAAAAAGTTGAAACAGGAATCCCTGTATCATTGAATTTATATCCAAAGTGGAGAAACTGACTTGACGTTTTAGATGAAATGCAAGCAACATTGTCACTAGGATTGAGCTTGGGTTTGTACTGAGCCCAAGCTCAGCCAAACCCAGGAGTCAGTGCACATCCAATAAGCTGTGGCCCGGGCATTCCCCACCCTTCAGCCGCATGTAAAAATAGGGGCGGAATGCTGGTGACATCATTGACCTTATATGGCCACAAACTGAAACAAACTGGATTATATAAGTGAATATAATAAAATCCTTATTTTTTTCTGCTATTCTGTTCCTTGTTATTTATATGTAAAGTAAAACCAAGCTATTGCCATTTTTTAAAGTCATACTGGTATCTAATAAGACTGGTGATTAGGGGTGAGATTGACCCAAACCCAGCTTGTTCGTACTTCAGTGAACAGCCAGTTCACACACCCATGTGCAAACATCAGCCTAAAGTCTGTCATTTTGTGGCAGTAACACTAACACATCAAAATGACAGTTCCCTGCAGTCTGGTGCTTATATACAGGCCAGCCAGGTGCCTCTGGGTGATGTCATTGGCCACATATGGTCATGACCATATTCGGTCAATGATGTCACTTAGCATCCCTAGCTGGTATGTTGACATAAGGCAGTCAGCCAGGGAACTGTTATTTAAAGTGAGAATCGCGGCTGGTGAACATCATTGGGTCATCACATTGGAGGGTCATCGTGATTGACTTGAATATGCACCACTGGATGACATAACTGACATAGGATTTACATCAGAGAGTATTTTTAAAAAAATCTTAAGAAGGACTTTTTCATGGTGTGAGTGTTTTTACTTCCTATTTACCTTTTTTTTGTTAAGGGGTAACATGAGGTACTATGTTCCCTGTTCACATGGGGAAGAAGATATCTGGGTGCCCCTTTATTTTAAAGGAGGTAAATAATACCCATTCTAATAAAGATTAACTTGAATTATATTAATTATTGATACTTGAAGTATTGTCTTAGGTTGCTTGTGAGTATCTTATCTTTCATTAACCTGGAGAATTAGTGCTGTCAACACTTAATGGGCTGCTGCAACACCTGGCATGAATGCCCATGAGTACTTAGATGTAATCATTGTATGTTTTGTATTCACTGTTTGGTTTCACTAGGAGATTTTCTAGTCTAGCTTTTTATTCACTAGAGAAGTAATGATCTATTTTTCCACTAGAAAATCTTGAAACTGAAAAGGGAACCCAAGTGAATAAAAAGGTGAAAGCATGGTTTAAAAATGTCAACACCTTATTAATCTTCTTTATTTTTACAGTTATACAATTACAGAAGTATTCGTTTTTCTAAGGGGGTATGATTTACACATCTAAAAAGTGTGAACAAATTTCTTTATTACCCGACTTGTGATTCATTATGTGCCAGATTGTTGAAAATCTATGCATTTCTGCAACCTTTCATAAAAAGGTGATAGATGATGTATCTCAAGGTTATAGCAAGTTAACATCTATATAAGCATACCTCTTTTTGACTTCCAAGTTCGACAAACCCACACAGAGGGTGAAAAGCCCCGGTTCCACATGTATATAAATGGGTCTTGTTGTAGTGATGAAGGACTTTAATGAAATTTGCACATTCCTCCTAAAATATAGTCCATATGTTATAGATATACGTTTCACAAATTATCTTAAACCAATAAACTATTAAATATTGTTTGATAGAACAACTCTTCAAATGTATAAAATAGAAATTCGATTGAATATGTCATTTTATTGCTTAATTAGCAGATTAAGTAATTGTTTTTTTAATCCACAAATGGACAAATATCCAAAAGAAGAACACTATACCCAAACTTGTGTAGTTACAGTTATGGTGTGATAGCTCCATGTCAGTTTATGGTTTTCATATACATAGTCACGGATTGTTAAATGTTATTTTAAATGAATACAAGTGAGATGAATGGACTGTGTTTTCTTTTCTTGTATGAAAGTTCATCCCTTGTTCTATACACCTATCTAATGCTACAAAGTTATCGAGAAGGGTAGACAAGTGGTTTAAACTACAGGGAATGATTAATGACTTGTGAATGTTTGGTGACTGTCATATTCATTTCTTTATAAATATCCCCTAAAAAAAAATTCTGGAGACAGTGATGGTTAAAATAGTCTGTCTATAAGGGCTAGTTCACACTAGATGCAGTTATGATGCAGTCCGTTCAGTTTGGCAGCTGCATCAAAATCGTGTTACAATGCTTTTCAATGAGATTTCTGCTGCTCTGCTCACACCAGTGCAGTCAGTTCCAATGCAGTCAGAAAAAATCCTGCTTGCCACATTTTAGCTGCACCTGATCACAACGGAACACATCAAAACGTATATAAAATGCATGCAACTGCACTGAAACACCTGAAAGCGCATTTTAAGCTAATTAAAGCATCAAAATTGTGATAAAATCACAGTAAAAACTAGGCAAAATGCATTGCACTGCAGCTGCGCAGACACATGCAGTTCTGATGCAGTTATGATGTGAACTAGCCTGACATGGTTTGGCCATTAAAAGATCACATTTAAACAAAATGATGTTTGTGTTACCATAAATGTACTGTGCATCATTTATATATACTGTATATACTTTATCTTAGATGATTTCTTATGAAAAACAAATGTAGTGCAGTAAGTACAGTCTTGATATAAAGAATACTTTTGAACAATAGTATGTCTTAGTCTAATACTGTTTTTAAATAACATTACATACACAATATAATACAAATGTGCTATCTGATAGTAAATATTGATTTTTTCTCCCAAGCCCAGTTTCATAAGAAAGCTTAACACAAGTAAGTACACACCAGAGATAAAAGATTGGATACATTCTACTAGGTACAGGGAAATACTTGACTAATAAAGAAAGGTGTTTTCATTACGTAGAGAATAAATATTTAAATGTTTAAAGCTTGTAAGGAACATTCCAATGTTGTATAAGAAGCACTGAAGAACAGAGCCAGACTAATAGACCTAACAGTCTTTATTAGAGCTACCTTTTTAAGAGTGTCAGCAACAACTGTAGTTGCTGCCACTCTTGCAGTTGTTTGGTTTTTTTGGGGGGGGGAGGGGAGGCTTTTTTGTATATTCTTTTATTTCACATGTATCCATTTTTATTTCACTCATATCCATAAGTGCCCATGTGATTAGAGTATGATGAAAAGCTCTAGCGAGCTGGGGTTCTTTCCACCGTGTCAATGGTTCATCATTCAGTATGTGTGCTGCATTTGGGCATCTTTTGAAGAAGCAACCAAAACGACGAGCTGTGATAAGGTAGGGATTGCTAACACAATGCCTCTTGTGTTCCGTGTCCAACAAAAAGTCCATGGCCTGATATACTGGGCACTGGAGGCTAGTAGAAGGAGGAAGATAAGTACTTACTAACCAAGTTGCTTTCATATTGTCCAGAAACTGAACAATATTTGTGGCTATTTGTTGCTTTATTTTAAGATAAAACCTGATTAAAAGATACCCCTTGACGTTTGACCTATCCCTCACTAATAAGGTTGACTCCGACTGCTGACGTACCTGCTACTGATGGTTCTAGCAATGTTAATGGACACGTTTATTCTTACTCTATGCAGTGTTGATGTGTGTTTCTTGTTAGTTTCTGTTAAATTGGATGTAAATTGTATGTTTACGTTACAATTGTAACCGTGGATTTAGACAAGGATTAAGCATGTTCACCGGATATGATATTCCATATATGTCTGTACGATCTGACACTATGTACCAAACCGGGTGACTAACTTGTACTTCCAGCAATGTGGGATTGTATCCCCCTACGCCATTGTATTCATTTCCGTTGTTCATGCCTTGTAAATCCAATAAAAACGACATGCTTAAAAAAAAAGATAAAACCTGTCTTGTTTCTTTCTATTCACCAGGGATACTGTGCTGACACTGGCCAATTTCTACCACACATACATAACACATACCTGAACTATGTCTTTTAAATATTGGCAATAACTGGGGATACAGAGATGAGGGGTTTCAGAAGTATGTTGTGTAAAGTGTATTTGTTCACTCTGTTTTGACATTTATTAAACTTTTAAGACACTGCAGTGCGGCACTGCAAAAAAAGAAAACGTACAAGTTATATTAAAAAAACAATAAGGTGATCAGTGCCAGTAGGTGAAATGTGAAATAAGAGCTACCAGGCACTAAGGATATAAATAAATATCTAAAAAAATGTGAAAAAACAATATTGTGCCAAGCTAATAATCATACACATCTAATACAATGAAACATAAATTAATCTCATATATGAGCCTTAAAGCAAATAAGGCATACAAAAGATCTACACACAAAAACAGAAAGAGTCCCAAAAAAAGAACAATGGTGATTGTGCAAGAAAATTCCTCAAATGATTCACAGCCTATCTGCATGTAACTCTCAGCTAAGGATAATCACACAATGCAGACAGACATTTACCTCCACCCAGTGAGTGATAACGACAAGTGATGCTCACCTGGGGAGGTAGACCCGCAGAGCTAGGTCAAATGTGCATTGTCCCTTCTTCATGGGGGAGGTAATCAGTGGCGTAACAACCGGGGGGCGGGGGCACTTGCCCCGGGCGCAGGACTGAGGGGGGGCACCATCACGACCCCTGCTAAACGAAGCCATGGCTCCCTCTCTCTGACAATTAAACCGATGCGCGCAGTGCGGGAGTGATGCAAAATGCGCAGCCGCCTACCCCTCTAAGCTAATAGCGTATCTTCTCAGAAACTGCACACTGCGCACGTCGGTTTAAGTAGTAACCAGCACACGCTGTATGCAACTTCTAACAGCGTGGGAGACGGGAGGCTACACTTGTTGGTGGATCCAGGAATCAGGTGAGTATTAGAAGAAAAAAAAGTTTTATTTTATGTTCTATTCTTAGTTCTATAATGTCAATGTAGTACTTTCAGGTGGAATACAGCTTCATAACATATCAGCTAGGGAACTACAAGTCCCAGCATGCCCTCATTGCCCCTGTACAACAACCAGATATTGCCGTTCCCTGGGTGATATGTGTGTGTGTGTGGGGGAGTGTACAGGGACAATGATGGCATGCTTGGACTTGTAGTTTCTTAGCTGATATATATGTGTGGGGGTGGGGGGTACAGTTCTAGTGGATGTTTATATAATATGGGGGGGGGGTGAAAAAAATGTTCTCCCCCGGGCGCCCATAACTCTGGTTATGCCACTGGAGGTAATCCCATGCACAGTAAAGGCGATAAGGCAATATCCCCCTATAGACTTCAGTAAGATTCCCTACTAAGTTTGAGTTTTGTGCATTTCAAACAGGATTCGATGAACCCCCTGTGAACTGAACTTGGGCAGATCCCCCCATCCCTAATGAGCCTATTACAGAGAATGAAATAAATAAAGAAAACTCACATTTGAATCTTTTCCAGCAAGCCTGCAAAATTCCACTCTTTCTTTAGGTGCAGGCCAGTGAATCTAAAAGTAAAATGTGAAATGTCAGTATATTCAAACAACGTATTGTTCATTTCAAAGAATAAATCATTTATGGTTTTTGAGGTCTGTTGCTAGTTCTAGTTTCACCTCATGGTTTATACTTGAGGAACAAGGATGATGTCTTCCAGTAAAGGACATGTGCATTGTCCGATCCATTTTAGGACACATAAACCTCTAGCCAGTGACATCAGCTGTGGTATGTGTCTAATATATACAGTGCTTTAGGACAGTGGTTCTCAGTATAAGGTTGATAATATCCATATTGTTATATATCATTTTCTGAACAAAAGTCAACTTGCAACTGTTATAAATAAAGGCTCGAATTAACAGAAAAATCAACTGCTCTCTTGGTCAGCCCAGATCATAGTGCAGTTTTTTTTCCACTGATGTATATCAAACAATATTTGATATGTTACTTTTGCTTTTTTTGCTTTGTAGTAAAAAAAAATATTAAGCCCAGTCTAGTTTCTAGTTTATTATGTCCTGGATGTAAGGGTCTCCTTTGCTTATAAGAATGAACCACAATCCAAATGTCAGCTTTAAGACTAGATTTAAGAGCAAAAGTGTATCTAAAGCCCAAACCTTTTTTTTTGTTTTGAAGAGTGGTTAGGAGGTTAGCAACCCTGTCAAGTTTTATCGCTGTCTGTGTGCTCAATGGGAAGATTGACTTTCTCTGTGTTCTTGTGGCCATTCAATGGGACTAAAAGTGAGGGAAATTTCTAAGATGTGTCACCAGAACAGGAATAGAGGCGAAACATTTAGAGTGCACACTTGTTCCAGTGACAGCCATTAAAGAATAGATTTTACTTACTTTAGAGAGAACTACAGACAGAACAGGAAGTAAATGAAAATCTCTTGAATGGAACACAGATGTAAAATAAAAACTGACAGGAGTTTTAACTAAGCCCAACTCCATTAACAAAAATATATTTTTTGTCTTTAGATATACTATAAAGAGTACATAAAACCTCTATGGTCAAAACATCTACATGAATACTAACCAAGGTAAAACAATAATAAGGCAATTTTATTATTCATTTTTATTTTATTACCAAGATGTTGGTGTTGGCACTTCCTGTTTTTCTGTCAAAGTAATTGATCGCCTGCATTCCTCATGTATCATGGCAAAACAAGCATAATGGAAAACTATTTCTCTGTTTTTTTAAAAGCAGTTGATAGATGTAGTCTTTATTTACATTCTGTATTGTGCTTTAAACCTCTCATGTTGGTTTTTTTAGTTTTTGTATTGCAACTTTATAAAGAACATCTGTTTCCTGAATTATGTGTGCCAACGTCATGTTATCAATCCAACCTCACCATTATTAATATCAAGTTCAAAGTTGACAAATGTATAGGATTTACTCATTTAAAATCATTGTTATTAAAACATAATGTGAATGTGTCATAAAAATGCACTTTAGGATGTTTTAAAAGAAAAGGTTAACAAAGAACAGCAATTCTAACTGCATACAATGAAATATTTTAGGTGATGCCCATAATCAGGCCCAAAAAGATAATATGGCACATCTGCAAATGGCAGGAGAAGCTAGTAGTGTCTCTGAAAATAATTTTAACAGGCTTGTTCTCTTGTACGTTGCTCAAAACATAAACCTGCATTAGTATTAATAAATATGTTTATATTATTGTATATTTGTACTGAACATAGAAGCCCTTCTATTTAGGTATAAGCACAAATGCAGCTGTTGTCCTCGGTGCAGCTATGATCCAGACTTAACTGTCCACTTAATATGCAGCCATTTGTGCTACTACACATTCTGGTTTGTTTCTGACAAAGCTTGTGGTGCATGTGCTTTGCATACAAAAAGATGTTAGAGAGGATCACATGGCTTAATAAATTTAAGCTTTGCTTGTGTGCATTATCAACATTATCACAAGCACTTTTGAATTTCCAATCTCTTAACGGTCTCCTTTCTATAGAGTATTGTACAGTGAGAGTGAGGTAGATCTGAGTGGTGTGTGAATCAGGAGGGGACACGCAGCTTCCACTGCCTATTTTTTTAGGGAGCTATCCCTATACACCACCTTTACCTGTTTGTCTGCTGTGGGGAAAACAATACTTGCAGACCTTTTGGAATTACATTGCTGCAAATTGTATGTCCATGACAGTGCTTAGTCAGAAATGATGCATAATATATTTCTAATCAATATTTGACTCCAGTCTTTTTTAGTTTTTTTAGTTTCGGATCCGATTGATTTTTATTTTTCTGTGTCCTCCTTCCCCTCTCTTCCTGCCCCAGTAACGCCCTGTCACACACTGATTCAAAGGGTATGACTAGGACTTGAAGTGAAAGAAATATCCACGAAGGTGACACAAACAGCGTTCTAGCCCTTCTCCAATCCACTAAAAAGGGTTGTTTTATTTCTTTTTTTGTCACTATTGGAATGATTTTCCCTCACTTCCTGTCCTTGTGAGAGGGAGATGGGAAGTGGTTAGTAGAACCGAAGGGCTGCTGTACGGGCTATTCACTATAGCCCGTACAGCTCCCGAAGTTGGCCGAGGGGCTCAGTCGAGCTGAAGGCATATGCCTCGGCTCCACTGAGCCGAAGTGCAAGCCGGAGCTGGCCGAACGGCCGGCCATTGGCCGGCCGACAGCCTGCTACTGACAGCTGGGCGGAGCCAGCCGTCATCTCACGGCTGGCTCTGGCCACTTGCAAAGACAGATTAGCGTCCCTGGTTAACAGGTAACCAGGGACGCTGATCTGCCATTACTCTCCCGGACGCTCTGGGAGTTTCCCACTATTAGATAATGGCTCCCGGCCGCCCGGAAGAGAAACACTTTCTCCCAGAAAGGTTTACTTTGCTCGATCGAGCAGAGCAAACCTTTCCCTGCTCTGTTCTTTGTTTCTTTTTCCTTCTGACATCGGAGCCGCCGGCGCCGTCAGTCAGAAAAAAAAAACAGCATAGGAATGCATAGCTAGATTCCTATTGGCTATTTCCATTTGCAATAGCCAATAGCAAACTAGCTATTGCACCCGCCCACTGCTGCTGTCAATCAGCAGAGGGAACCTGAAGTTCTCCACCAGGTCCCCTTCTAGTGATTGACAGCAGCATAGGGCGGGTGCAATAGCCAGCTTGCTATTGGATATTGCAAATGGAAATAGCCAATAGGAATCTAGCTATGCATTCCTATGCTGACTTTTTTTATTTTTTTTATTCTGATGGCAGCAGCTGTCAGAATACTAAAACAAAACCTTGCAGATAGCAAAGAAGCTATTGCTTCCTCTGCTATCTGCCATCATTTTAATCGTTTTCTATTTTATTTTTACCCTTTTTTTGACTGTTTTTCTATTCTGCTCGGTACCACAGAGGTACCGAGCAGAATAGCCGAGCCTAATGCCGCTCACTCACTGCTGTTCGGCATCTATGAGAATAGGCTGAACAGCAGTGAGTAGAAGTACAGCCGTACAAGCCTGAGGTGAATAGCCTAACAGCATTCGGCTCTCTTCACTTCGGGTCGGTTATTCACTCGGCTGCCTACAGCGGTTTTGTGAATAGACCCCTTAATGTTCTTGGCATTGCCCTACTGAATAAGTCCAATAGAATAGATCCTTTTATTACGCCATGCTAGCAGCAGTTTCATGAGGGACAGTAAATCCAGCTAAAAGTTAAACTATACAAGCTTAAAACTTAATATAACACTATATTGAATGAAACTGCATAAACAGGCCTTACTATAGTAACAAGTAAAAACAGCATGTTTTCTTAGTTTTAAGATCCATGTATACAAAGTAAAAAAAATATGCATTTGGCAACATAAACGTACAATATTGAACAGAAGCCAGTACTGGTGGATGTGATAATGGTCATATTTCTAAACCTCCTTGACCTTTATTTATTATAAATGTAGTTTTGCCACAAAGAAGAATTATCTTTAATGGAAATCAAACATAAGCTGAAAGACTCTGACGCACGTAAAAAAAAAAAAGTCTAAACTGTTTATTAAGAAAACAGTAAATCACATTTGTACAAAGCTGAAACAACTTGCATACAGAAATACAGAAACAATAGGATAAGAGTTCCAATACACTGCCTGGTCTTTGCAAGTGATGCTCCAAATTAAAGTTTAGTTTTCAAACAAAACTGTATAGCACGGGTGCATTGGCAGTACTTGCAAATGTGCAAGTATGCACAGCATTATGGTAAACTTTTATCTGGGTTTGCCCTGCTTATGCGATAAAGATCCATGAACTCCCCCAACGATATGCAGCAACTTTTTCCACTGCTGTGTCTTCCTTCTTTGGCCATGAGCAGCCAGTGATGGTATAACTCCTGTATATGTGTCTTACAGAGACCAGAAGTATACACTGCACTGTACATGAAAAATTACATAGTTACATAGTATTTGAGGTTGAATAAAGACATAAGTCCATCAAGTCCAACCTATTAGGATCTCATTCTAGGAGTACCTGTACCCCTGTATATTACGGTCCCTTAAGAAATCGTCCAAAAGTTTCTTGAACAATTCCACATTATTTGCTGAAATCACCGCCTGTGGCAGTGAGTTCCAGACCCTAACTGATCTTACTGTGAAGAACCCCCTTCGCCCCTTGTGCTGGAATTTTTTTTCCACCAATTTTAGGTGGTGGCCTCTAGTTTTTGTAATGGAGTTAATTTTAAACAGTTTATCGCTAATGTTGCTACCACTATTGAACATTTTGTACATGGAGATCATATCCCCCCTTAATCTCCTCACCTCCAATGTGAACATGTTTAAATTTAGTAGCCTTGTCTCGTAGCTCTGGTCCTCCATACCCCTAATTAGTTTGGTTGCCCTCCGCTGGACTTTTTCCAACTCAAGGACATCTTTTCTTAGTACTGGTGACCAGAACTGGACCGCGTACTCCAGATGAGGTCGAACCAATGATCTATAAAGTGGCAAAATTATAGACTTGTCCCTGCAATACATCCCCTTTTTAATACAGGACAAAACCCTGCTAGCTTTGTTTACAGCAGCCTGGCA